TTTTTCTTTATTTCTTTTAGTTTGAGAAATGTCAAGAGTGTTTTTATCTTTTTATTTTCTTTCTCCAGATCTTTGTGCATTTTGTTGTAACATTTTGTCTTCTTGAGCCACCCTTTGAAACCTTTGTTCAACTCCTTTACTTCATGATTTTTTTCTATTTGCTTAGCTTCCCTATATTCTAGAGCAAGTTTCTTCTAACATTTATTTATGTCTTCTCTTTATTTCCTGTCTTTTTAATGGCCTTTTGCTTTCCTCAAATATGATTTCTTTCATGTCATCCACAACTCTTCTGGTCTGTGGCCATCAAATCTATTTTTTAGTTAGTCTCTACGGTGAGATATATTCAAAACAGTATTTTAGGACACATGGAATTGTCTTAGTTTTCTTCAGCTTCCACTTGAGCTTGCATGTGATCAATTAATGGTCTGTTCTACAGTCAGTCACTGGCCTTGTTCTGATTGATATAAACTTTTTCTATCAGATACAGTTAATTTGATCCCTGTGTCTTCCATCCATTGAGGTCCACATGTATGCCACTGTTGTTATTGTTATTAAGTGACAATAAGTTGACTGGGAATCAAAAGCAACCTGTGTACAACAGATCCTAGACTACCTTCACTATCTTCAACATGCGCAAGTCCATTGTTGTGGTCACTATGTTAATTTATTTTCCTTGAAGGTCTTCCTCTCCTTCTTTGACCCTCTACCTTTCAAAGCATGATGTCTCCTTCCAAAGACCGGCCTCTCCTGATAACGTGGCTCAAAGCATGCGAAATGAAGTCTGATTATTTTTGCTTCTACTTCCTCTTAGATGGATCAGTTTATTCTTTTAGTATGCCAAGATTCAATACTCCTTGCTGATGCCACAATTCAAAAATTAAAATGTTTCTTTGATTATCCTACTCTCTGCACAACATACACATACATTTGGAGCAAGTGAAAATACCATGACTTGAGTCAGAAACACCTTAATTTAAACTGACACCCTTGTTCTTCAGCACTTTAAATAGATCTCTGCCAACAGATTTGACCATTGCAAAACACGTCTTATTTTTTTTGACTGCTGCTGCTGTGGATGTTAATTATGGAAACAAGTAAAATGAAGTCTTTTCAATTTCAATCTTTTCTCCATTTATCATGATGATTTTTATATGTCTAGTGGTGGGTAGATTCATCCTAGAGAGGGTTAAACCAGGCTACTCCTTGGAGACTTCGTCTGACATACTTTGGACATGGTGTAAGGAGAGACAGGTCTTTAGAGAGGGACATCATGCTGGGTAGAGTAGAGGGACAGCGCAGGAGGGGAAGACCCTCTCTGAGGTGGATTGATTCAGTGACTGGGGTAATCGGGATGGGTGTGTCAGAGGCAATGAGATTGGCACAGGATAGAGCACAGTTTAGGGCTGTTGTACATAGGGTCGCTATGAGTCGCAAACGACTCGACGACACATAACAACAACAACAACAGTGGTGAGTACTTTTATTTTCTTCATGGTGAAGTGTAATCCATTCTGAAGGCTGTAGTTTTTGATCTTCAATAAATGCTTTAAGTCCTCTTTGCATTCAGCAAGCAGCATAGTGTTATCTGTATAATGTAGACACTGAGGAGTCTTCCTCTAATCCTGATTCCACATTCTTTTTCATATAGTTTAGCTTCTGAAATTATTTGCTCCTCATAGATATTGAATTTGTTGTTAGGTGCTGTTGAACTGACCATGATTCCTAGCGACTCTGTGAACCACAGATCGAAAACTTGCCCTATCTTAAGCCATGACCACAATTTCCCCCATGCTCAATGCCCTTCTGTTGTAGACAGTCTGAATTTGAATAGGTTTACTAAACTGAATATTGCTGTTGTTTGATGTGCCACTGAATGGGAACCAACTAATAGCTGACCCTCTAGTGGATTTTCAGAGGCTGTATATTGCACGAGAGGAGACTGCCCATCTTTCTTCTGAAGAATAGCTGATGGATTTGAACTGATGTCTTTGAGTTGGAAGCCTAACTCCTTACCATTAAGCCACTGGAACTCTCTGGTAAACTGTTGCTGTTGTTAGATACCATCTAGTAGAGTATGACTCATAGGAGCAACAGATCTGAACCCTTTTGTATCCTGTGTCATTCTCATCATCTCTGACATACTTGAGCCTATGATAATCCTCTCTTTTGCTGAACCTCCACTTTTCTAAAGAATAGCCAAGGAATACTGATTTCCAAATAATATTTCCAGGGGCTAGTCTCCTAACAAATAAATACATATGGTTTTTTTAAGGATAACAGAAGAAGATCTATGCCTTTGAGTTGTGGTGCTGGAGAAGAGTCTTGAACATAGGACTGCCAAGAGAACAAGTCGATCTGTCTTGGAAGGAGTTGTAGCCAAGTTTCTCCTTGGAGGTAGGGATTCTGATGCTCCATCTCACATACTTTGGGCACATGACCAGGAGGGACCAGTCCTGGGAAAAGGGCATCATGCTTGTGCAGGAGGGACAGCAAAGAGAGGAAGACTCTGAATGAGATGGATTGACGTAGTAACTGGGGTAATGAGGGTAGATGTGTTGCAGACAGTGAGACTGGCTAAGGCAGGATAGGGTTCAGAGCTATTATACATAAGGTCGCGATGAGTCACAGGGAACTCAATGGCATTTAACAACAACAACAACAACAACAACAACAGTAAAGTAGATGAAGCACAACAGCACCTTCCTTGCCTCTAAGGAGCACTCTGGTTGTGCTTTGTTCAAGACATAACTGTTTTTCTGTGATATTGAGTACTCTCCTCCAACACTACAACTCAAAGGTAACAATTCTTCTAGCATTCTTATTAACTGTCCAGAGGGAGACTGAAAAGGCCTTGTCTCAAATGAGGTACAGTTTGGTCTGTAAACTGGTATCATTGCTTTTCAGGATTTTTATACAGGTCCCTGACAGCAGACTTTCCCAGGCCAATTGGTATCAAGGTACCAAGACTTTTATTACCAAGGATGTTGCTTGCGGATGTTGAAATTGTTGACAAATCTTTTCTCCATCTATCATGATTTGCCTACTGGGCCAGTGGTGAGGATTTTTGTCTTCCTGATGTTGAACTGTTATCCATAGTAAAAGCTGTAATCCTTAATCTTCCGTAGTAGATGCTTCAGGTCCTATTCACTTTCAGCAAGCAAGATTATGTCATCTTCATAATGCAAGTTGTTGATTAGCCTTCTTCCAATCCTGATGTCAGATTCTTCTAGTACAGTCCAGTTTCTCTGCTATGCACATGAGTATTGTTCTATTACTGACAGTATTTTACTTTGGGACAGCCTGAAAATGCTTTTTATGAGAAATATGGTATCATTCTTTAAGTTGTAATTTTGCTCATAATAAATTATATGATTAAAAATGGCCAATACCTGTCCATTTCAGCATACCAATACTCTGAATATCAATGTTCGGGAACTCTGTTTAATTTTTTACAAGCTCCAATTTCTGTAAGCTCCATGTTCCACCTATCTGGGTGTTTGCAGCTGTCTCCCCCTCCTCCCCCTTTTTGTTCCCCTGCATTAGTAAGTAAAGGTTAGGAGCAACATGAAAGCTGAACTGATGTGTCTGTATATACTGCAAGTATGGCTGTTATGTGCTGCTGAATCGGAAGCAACTCATAGCTGACTTTCCAGTTGGTTTTCAGAGGTTATAAACCACATGAAAGGAGTCAATCAATATTTCTACTGCAGAGAAGCTGGTAAATTCAAACTATCACCTGTCTTTGAGTTGGCAACACAACTCTTGACCCACTAAGTTACCACTGATGTTAATGAAAGACATATTGGTAATGAATGAGACATCAATCAGAGAAAACTCATACATCTCTGCTTCTCTGTACTCTTGTGACTTGTGTATTGCTGTAATACCATAAGCTATGTCATCAATATTTTAAATATCAACAGGGTCACCACTGGTAGACAGGCTTTAGGGAAGCTTACAGACTAAGACAGACCCACTGCCAAGAATGATTGACAGTTTGCTTCTGAAAATAATTTGTCAGTGAAAATCCTATGACTAGCAGCATAATACTGTCCAATACAGTGCCAGAAGATGAGGCCCTTAGGTTGGAAGGCACCATGATTATACTACCTCCAAGACAAATTTATTTGTTCTTTTGGCAGTCTATAGTATATTCAATACTCTTCATCTACACCACAATTCAAAGGAACAAGTTCTCTGTTGTTGTTGTTATGGGCTATCAATTTAGAACTAACTCATAGTTAATGCTCAGTGGGGTTTCAGAGACAGTAAATTACATAGGAAGAGATTTTCCATCTTTCTCTTCGAGAGCAGCTGGTGGATTTGAACTGCGTGCCTTTGGGTTGGCAACACAACTCCTTACTCCTAGGCCACCAGAGCTCCAGTAATACTATTGATTAGTAAGGTGTAATTGAGTTTCCATCTATTTGTTTTATCCAAATGTTTATTAAGATCAATTTTTCAGTTTTTGCTTTTAATTGTTTTGCTTTTAATGGTGAGGCAATTCTGGGTGTACTATACATCACTTGCAAATAATTATTATCTTTTTATGTATTATTTTGTTGTTAATATCTGGAATGAACTTAAGCTCCCAATTAATAGCATGTCATGAAGACTGTGGGAATCCTTGTTCTGGCTCTATAATTGAAAACTTTACTATTGTTGTCATTAAGTGCCATTGAATCGACTACGACTCATAGCAAACTTATGAATAAAAGCTGTAAACATTGCTCTATTCTGAGCCAGCCTCACTGTTTCTGACACATTTGTCCCCATTGCCACAGTCAATCTATCTCATCCAGGGTCATCCTCTCCTACACTGACTGACCCTCTACTTTCCAAGCATGATTCTGACGACCTAAATTAACAAACACTGAGAGACAGCATCTTTGGGTGAGCAATGCAACTCCATATAGACCAGACCACTAAAACTCTCTTGAGGCAGAATATCTTAAAACTAAAAATAATATGAACTGAAATGAAAATACAAACAAACAAACAAAAACAACAGTGACTTACTTGTTAATTTGGGAAGGATGCTATTCACACTGTCTTTACTTTTTATTGTGCTCGACATTTTTAGTGTTTGCTGGACTTGCCATGGTTTTGGAGACAATTTCAGCAGAAAAAGTCCATATTTCATATACTGTTTTAGAAGGAATTCAGTTTTTGCTATTTCACTACTCAAAAGAAAAAAAATTAATGATTAGATAAAACTGGCAAAAGCATGTTTATGTTGAAAGACAACAACAACAACAATCCATCTGTCAAGGTCAATGTACACAGTGGGGAGGAGCGGTTCCAGTAGGTAAGTAGCAGTTGTTGTGAGGTGCCATAGAGAGGGCCCAACTCACAGTGGTCCTTCTGTATAACAGAACAAAACACTGGCCAGACCTGCCTCGTCCTCACAACCATTGCCATGACTGAGGACACTGTTGTACCCGTTGTATTTACCCAACTCATTGAAGTGCTTCCTCTTTGTCACTGACCCTCTGCTTTACCCAGCTTGATGTACTTCACAGACTGGCCGCTCCTGATAACATGTCCACGTTATGTGAGAAGCCACCATTCTTGCTTCCAAGGAACATTCTGGCGTGTTTCTTTTAAGATGGATTTATTTGGTTTTAGGCAGTCTATGGTACATGCAATATTCTTTGCTTACATAATAATTCCTGCGTTATGTGGATGACACAACCCTGCTTGCTGAAACTGAAGAGGACCTGAAGCGCCTGCTGCAGAGTGTCAAGGACTGCAGCCTACAATATGGATTGAGGCTCAATGTCAAGAAGACAAAGATTCTCACCACTGGACCAATTGGCAGCATCAGGATGGATGGTGAAGAGATTGAGATTGTACACAGCTTTAGTTTGCTTGGCTCCATAGTCAACAGTCTTGGCACCAGCAGCCAGGAAATAAAAAGGCGCATTGCCGTGGGAAAGTCTGCTGTTAGGGACCTCTCCAAAGTACTGAAGAGCAGTGGTGTCTCTCTGGAGACTGATACAGGTCATGGTCTTCGCAATCACTTGTTATGCATCAGAGAGTTGGACAATGACCAAGGAGGATAGAAGGAGAATTGATGCCTTTGAGCTGTGGTGCTGGAGAAGAGTATTGAGAATACCATGGACTGCTAGGAAAACAAACAGATTTGTCCTGGAAAGGGTTAAACCGGGTGGCTCCTTGGAGGCAAGGATTCTGAGGCTCCGTTTAACATACTTTGGACATGTTGTGAGGAGAGACTGGTCCTTGGAGAGGGACATCATGCTTGGGAGGGTGGAGGGACAGCGCAGGAGAGGAAGGCCCTCTATGAGGTGAATTGATTCAGTGACTGGGATAATTGGGATGGGAGTGTCAGCGACAGTGTGATTGGCACAGGACAGAGCGGAGTTTAGGGCTGTTGTACATAGGGTTGCTATGAGTCACAAGTGACTCGACGGCACATAACAACAACAACAACACATAATAATTCAAATGCATCAATTCTTCTTTGATTTTCCTTATTCATCCAACTTTGACCATATATGTTGTTGTATGCTGTTAAGTCGACTACAACTCACAGCGAATTCTTCTTTGATTTTCCTTATTCAACCAACTTTGACCATATATGCTGTTGTTCTGTGCTGTTAAGTCAACTACAACTCACAGCGACCCTATGACCAATGAATCTGAACCCTACTCCATCCTGTGCCATCCTCATTATCTTTGATATACTTGAACCCATTGTTACAGATGCCATGTCAATCCATCTCTATTAGGGTCTTCCTCTCTTTTACTGACCTTACACCTTTCCAAGCATGACGCTATTTTTCAAGGACAATTCCTCTTAACAACATGCCCACAATATATGAGACAAAGGCTCAACACTCACTCCTCCAATGAGCACTGTTTGCATTTTCTCCAAGACATGTGTATATGAAGCTATTAAAAATAGCAGGACTTGAATCAAGGTATCTTAGCCTTCAAAGTGACATCTTTGCTCTTGAGTCTTTTAAGAAGTTCCTTTGAGGCAGATTTGCCTTTTGCAAAACATTGTTTGATTTCTTGACTGTTGACCCCACAGATGCTGACTGTGAAACTAAGCAAAATGAAATCTTTGTCAACTTTTGGAAACTGTTAGTCTTGCAGAATTCTATCCTGCAGTCTCTGTTGTTTTCCCACTACTGCTCCTCCTGAGTTTTCTCTTCTGCATTGCAACCAACATCAATTATCAATGTAAATTTGATCGCCTATCTGAGCCATTTCTGACTACAGCAGTTAATAAAAACCTTCAGTTCCTTCATCTTTGGCACTTGTAGCTGGTGGGTAGGGGATTGTACTGCAAACCCTAAAGTGGTGCTTCTGTGGTGGTTCGAATCCACCAGCTGTTCTATGAGAGAAAGATGGGCAATCCTCTACTATGAGTTTTACAGCCTCTGAAAACCCACTGAAGGGGCAGCTATGAGTTGGTTCTGACAAGATGGCAGTGAATGAGCACATAAGATGTTGATCTTCAAAGTCTATTTTCTTTTCAATGACTTCTAATGATCCTTGATTCCTATTTTGTATATTCTACAGCCCATTGTATGTTCAAAATTCCTCTCCAACACCACAACTCAAAGGCATTGATTCTCAATAGGAATCCCAGAACACTTGATTGTGCTTATGCAAAAGCTATACTTGGACCAGGAGGCAGTCCTCAGAACAGAGCAGGGAAACACTGCATGTTTCAAAATCAGGAAAGGAGTGCGTTAAAGATGCATTCTTTCTCTAAACCTTTTCAATCTATATGCAGAACAGATCATTCAGGAAGCGGGGCTTTATGAGGAGGAATGTGGCATCAGGATTGGAGGAAGATTCATCCACAACCTACATTAAATAGATGGCACAATTCTGCTTGCTGAAACTGAAGTGGACCTCAAGCACTTGCTGCAGAAGGTCAAGGACTGTAGTCTTCTATATGGATTGAAGTTCAACATCAAGAAGACAAAGATTCTCACCACTGGGCCAACTGGCAGCACCATGATAGATAGAAAAGAGATAAAGGTTGTTAATAATTATGGCTTGCTCGGCTCCATAATCTACACTCCTTGCACCAGCAGTCAGGAAAATCAGAAGGCGAATTGCATTGGGAAAAATCTGCTGTCAGGGACTTCTCTAGAGTGCTGAAAAACAACGACACCAATCTACAGACTAAGGAGAACCTAATCCTGGTCATTATCTTCCCAATTACTTGCTATGCATCAGAGTTCTGGATAGTCACTAAGGATGTCAGAAGAACTGATGCCTTCAAATTGTGGTACTGGAGAAGAGTCTTGAACATACCATGGACCACCAAAAAAACAAATAGGTCTGTCTTGGAGATGGTCAAACCAAGTTTCTTTGGAGGCTAGGATTTTGAGGCTCTGTCTCACATTCTTTGCAGGAGAAGAAGATTCCGGATGAGTCAGATTGATACAGTAAGTGGGGTAATGGTGGTAGGTGTGCTGGAATTAGTGAGACTGGCTCAGGATAGGGCAGGGTTCAGAGCTCCTGTACATAGGGTCACTATGGGCCACAGGGGACTTGATGGCACATAACAACAACATTCCAACTACTAGTGGATATTTGCTACTATTTCTTATTTTGAGAAGTAAATGGAAAATGTTTCTTTGTGGTCAATGTGTGGATTCCATATCCTGGTGACCCCAGGTGACAGAACAGAACTGCCCAACAGGGTTTTCTCAACTGTAATTTTCACAGAAGCAGATTTCCAGGTCTTTCTTCCTAAGAGGAGTTGGGTGGGTTCAAAACTGCCAAGCTTTTACCACCTATTTACATTAGGTAGTAGTGAATAAAGAAGGAACTTGTCCACTTTAGAACACCTTCAGCTTCAGATTCCTAAAATAAAAGGGCCTGCTGTAGCTTTAGAAGCAACTGGCTTCAAATAAACTACAATCCAGTTGATTTACTTCATTTTAGACAAGCTTTTGTTCTCTACCCAGAAAGGTTTTATATAAGACATATAGGTCTTAACGATTTTCTCAGGATCTAACCAAGGCTACACTGTCTCCTGGATCATGGCATTATTGTCCAATGATGATGAGATGTGGGTATTCTTTAGCTTCTCAAAATTAGAGGAAGTGAGATATACTTGATCATCGAAGGAAACAGCTCAGATTCAATAAAAAGAGGATAATTTTATATATAATAAATTTACCTTCTGCTCCTATAATTATTATCATTATCAACCCTAGTTTCTAATACCATTGTGAGGTTAAACTAAATATAAGCTTAACTATTTTAAAATGCTGCTTGAAAAACAATCCTCATTTCAGTTAAAATATATCTTAAAATAAATGAAAGAGGATACTTAGAAAATGATTTATTGTTTACTTCTAACATCAATTTGCTTCTTTTTCAACTAACCCTTTGAATGTACATATGTAAATTAGAGACATTTTTCAGAAATCCTGGAATGTGAACCCAGTGACTAGCCAGAGGCCACCAAACTTTCTTGGTGTCCCCTCAGGGTTGATCCATGGTGGAGGTTGATAGGTTACTTGTTTTAAAGCTTTGGCACACTGATGAAATCCTCAACTAACAAAGAGGCATAGTTCCATGTAGGTGTTGCTAGGAACAAATTCTACTCTACAGGGCCATAGAAATGCAACAGCAAAGAAGTGGCTGCCCAGGGCCCTTACCTTTTCACCGCCTGAACTTCTATGCTTGCTTTCTTCAGTTCTGCTGTAGTTTGGAGTTTGTTAATTGTTTCTTGTGTGGCACTGAAAAGTTGCAGAGAATTGTTAGTCTGTGTTCAGAAGAAACTAAAAAGCAAAAAAGGAGATGTTGAAATGGATTTGGACAGAGTAAAGAAACGAACATTTTCAGTGCATCTATGGACTTCTGGTCATTTTCTCGAAGGAACTCTTCAAAAGCCATTGCATCGTCCTGGAGTTTCTTTTCTGCCTCCATGAGTTCCTTTTCCTTCAAAGCTATGCTGTCTTCAAACTTCTTAATCGTTTTTCTTTTGATTAACAAAGCATACTAGGGATATTTAAAACAGAAGCATGTAAAGAGCATTACTTCACACTTCTAAAACACTCCCAGTGTTGGCCAACAGTTCCATAACAGAGAGAGAAATAAGGTGTGATGATGACCATTTGTGTTACAAAAAGAACATGCCCAAATCTTGAGCCTGTGGACATCAGGTCATGGAGGAATTTCACTTAGGGGTCAGTGAGAAGGGGAAGTAGTTCTTCCCTCTGAGCTTCAGGGCCTCAGTGTTGTTCCAGAATGACCCAACTCTACAAGTCAGAAATAAGTCATGTTCCCACTCCTAAAGAGTATCGCTACTTGTTAGTCTCCACAATCTGACTTCCATACTGTCTGAGAATTGGAAAGCTGGGCTGATTGTAGCTACATAGCCACCAAGTTCTCCAATAGGAAAGGACATGGATCAAAATGTATTCTTGCACTTCTGTCTCAATGATGTATTCCTCTGACCCAGTCCAAGAGTGTAGGTGTTTAATTGACTGCTAGGCCTGCTGTTGTTACTAAGTGTCATCGAGTAGTAGATGACTCATAGCGACCCTATGAACAAAAGACCTGATAGGCATACACAAATTCTAAAGAATTCTGTGCTTAACTATTTGGCATCAGGATAGAACCTCTATTATATTTATAAATTAGTCTGTCTGGGTCCTGGCAATCCTTTCTGGTGTTAATGGGGGTAGGGGAAGTTGGAGGTATTCTGGGGTTTTTTCAGGGTCACTCTAGGCTCAAATTCTCTGTCTAGACTCCTATCATATTCAGTAAGATGTCCTGATATAAACTGGGCTGCTTGGGTGCTATTCTGATCACAAAGGAAAGAACTAAAAGAAAGGAAAAAACTGTGACTAGCAATCCTCTAAGCAGTGGTTCTCAGAGTGAGGTCCCAGACATGCAATATCCACATCACATAGGAACCTGATAGAAATGAAAATATCCAAGTTCCATCATCAGAAACCCTCAAACTCATTGGTGTTGAGTTGGAACTGACTCACAGCTGGCCATCTGGCAGGTTCTCGGAGGCGAAAGCAGGTTTTCAGGGGTTGTAAATGATACGGGAGGTGTAATCCATTTTTCTTCCATGGAGCATGTGGTGGATTTGAACTGGCTGCCTTTGGATTCGTAGCACAACTCCCTATCACCAGGCCACCTGACTGCACCATAAAGCTGCTGAATAAGGAACTTAGAGGTGGGGTTCAGCTACTTGTGTTTTTTAAAACCCTCTCAGAACAGTATGAGAACCATTATTCTAGAATAATTGTGCTGCTGATGTTATAGGAAATGTAGAATCTTGCCTGAGATTCCAGAATGTAAGCTCTTTGAGGACAGAACCTTTGTTTTACTAATTTCTGAACACATTACAAGCGCTCACAATATGTTACAAGTATTTTTTGAATGGACAAACACTTGACTGAATCATCTATTCAGCTTATAGATAAAAATGTCAAGGTAAACATTTGGTAATTGGTAATGCTACTCAAGAAGTCTCCTATTTGGCTAAGAGGGGAATGAAAATTATATTTATTACCTCAAGCATGAACCTGTCTCTCTGATCATGAATAAATTCATACAGAGTCTTGCTTGCATCTGCACCTTTAAAGAAAATGGGTACATATGTAAATTTTAGTTCATTATCTTTCAAAGATATGCAAAAGAAAAATTATTAGATATGGTATGTGTCTGGATTTAAGACAATATTGTCCCTTCAAATCAACTTTTCCCCTGAGCCACTCAATGAGTACGAATGAAATAATAGCAAGTGCTACTTTTTTTTAAAGAGCTTTTATAAAAATTTTTATTATTTTTTTGTGTGTGTGTACTATCAAATCGGATCTGACAGGTACAGGAGAAGATTGTCCCTTTTTCTCCAGCAGAGCATCTGATTGATTTGAACAGCACACACCTCTGGGATTGCAGTGCAGCTTCTTGCCACTGGGCCACCAGAGCTCACCACAAGTGCTGTGCTACTTTTTAAGGGTGGTGGTGTGTCCTATCATTTTCCTGGAACGTTAGCAGAAACTTTTAGAACATTTCATTTAATCCAAGTAACTCATATAAGGTGTTTAGTACTATTCTTATTCTATATAAACCCCAAAACTGGAGACAAACCTGTACTGTTGAGTCAGCTGACTTGTAGTCATATGTAACATTGGGTTTTTGAGGCTATACGATCTTTACAAGAGCAGGTGGCCCAGATGTCTCTCTCAGAGTGCTCGGTAGATTTGAACCTGTGACCTTTGAGTTAGCAGCTCTATACAGCATCCATCATGCCACAGGGTTGCATATGAAGTTGTAAAGCTCAACGACATAAAGCTGCTTGCTCAAGATGACACGGTGATAGAAATGATAGAAAAGGAACACGACACCATTACCTGTGCACTGAGTATATTCTAAATTGTCATGCTGAACCATCTTTCATAAAGCAGAAGCCATTTGTAAACAAACAAACAAAGAAACAAAAAAAAGTCTTTGGGCATCACAGATGACATTTTATTAATAAGAAAGAAGAAGAAAATGGTAACTAGTTCTACCACTTGCCAATCTCTTAAAACTCATTGCTTTCGAGTTGCGACCAAATTACAGCTGATCTCTGGGTTTCCAAACTTAAATTGCTCAGAGGGCCACTGTCCATCTTCCTTCTGCAGAGCCCAGGTGGACTTGAACTGCCAGAGGGGCAAAACATTTGGGTAAGCAGCAGACCCTCCTGCAGACTAGGCCACCAGAGCTGATGCAATTACAACAACTTCAGAGAAGCTAACAGGACTTCCTTTTTGCTCCCTCCATTATTGACTTCACAGTCCTCTTCTGAGAGGTTTTCTCATTCCTGGGAGACCTGCCCTTCTCCCTACCCCTTCTATTGTTTGTCTGGAAGCTGAGCCCCAGGGCAAAGTTTTGCTCCAAGTTCAAAGGGTGAGTAAGAACCCTGGTCTCAGGACCTCCACTAATCTCTATCAAACTCGTAAACCTGGACATTTTCATGTATGTCAGTTCTGTCCACGTTGTCTCGCACTCTATCCAGGATCTTCTACTATGATCCCTTTTACAGTGATCACTGGCAGTAGCCAGGAACCATCTAATTCTAGTCTCAGAATTGTGGAAACTGAGGTTTCATATATCCTTGTTTTTCTTTACTCTTCTTGGTTCTGATGGGAAGAGACCAACAGACCTGAGATGACAGTTCACAAGCTCAAGATTCCAGTTTTTACTCAACCAAGTAGAATGCAGAATACTGTCTCTGTCAACCACATTATGACAGTTGATCTTGAGGTCCCTTAAGATTATGACCCCAAGAACCCAAGAGCTGCTACTCATTACTTATTGGTGTTTGGTTAAGAATTTTCCGAGTTTTGTAGTAGTTTAACACATTGCCTCTAAAACTCACTGAGATCTACTCTGTTTTGCAACCATAGGTAAACTCAGCATCTTTTCTAAATTTGCTTGATGATTTTTTATTCTCTTAGCTCTCTTATTCTGGATATATGAGTTTAATGGCCTGGGAAACTAAGGCTTCTTTATACTTAAGAGAAATTGCATATTTATATTTTTTGTCCAGAACTAAATATGAATGGCCAACCTCATTCTATTTCTATTCTATCCACTCTTGCCAACATTAATATATCATTTTGGGACTGTCTTTCTTTCTGACAGCCATATAAGGATTCCTTAGTAAAGTCAGTTCCTGTATTTAAAAAATAAATTCTCAAAAAAAAAAATTCTCTCTTGATCATCTAGCCTATTGGCAAGACACCATTCTCCTATGCAAACGTCTGTTTTTGTCATCCTCAAGTCCTCAAAAAGGTCATTAACACTATTGTTGTATACCAACTGACTTCCAACTGATCCTTCAGTGAGTTGACAGAGGCTATAAATTGCAGGGAGAAATTGCCCATTTTTCTTCCAAGGAGCAACAGGTAGGCTTGAACCACATGCCTTTGGGTTGACAGTGTTTTTGTGAACACCAACCACGAAAGCTGCCCAGCAATAATCGCTGTTGAATATTTAGCTGAATCTGAAATCATATGGCCCGTAGAAAATTCAGAGAAATCCCATGCCAGTTAATGCTTGAGTTTCATCCTCCTTGGGGACAAAATTCCTTTATTATGCGACTATAGCATTAACATCTTACAAGCATAGCCCCCAAAACCATTTTGTGTTCTGCTCCATATACATTTCTGTGCCCTGTCAACTGGACTCTCCTCATCTGATTCTTTATATTCCCTTTTTTTAAAAACTTTTTAAATTGAATAACAGTTTATTAGTAAATACATGGTTAAAATGAAAATAATAATTCACTTGAACAGAAGTTAGTAAATCAAAAGAATAAATGCTGGCTAACCATCAGAAAACCTGTGGCCATTAGGACTGTCTCGCAGAAATCCAAAATCACTCAAGGGCCATACCTTAGGGAAGATATGACCTCTTATTAATCCATATGGAATAGGTCCATAGTATCTGGAATCTGTAAAATTCTGTAAATTATCACCTTCTAACCAAACATGACCCATTGGAACCCATAGGTCTGTTCTACAATACACTTAATTGTTAAGCTTGCAAGGCCTCCAGAAAAAAAAAAATCTATGGAATGTACCAAAGAATATCTTGAAGAACCATGGTTTCAAGATTCCTGTGGCCTCAAATAACTCATTCAACCCTCACCCACAACTCGAGTGGGCCTTTCTCACCTCTCTATATTTCCTTTGTAACACCTAGTGTGCATTTCCCCATTTTGTGGTATGTAAATATTGGGATCTCAGATAAGATGAAGACATGAGACAGCTACCCATATCAAAGAGTCTTTGATATAAGAAGCCAGAAAACCAAATGTGTGGCACTGGTGGTGCAAATGTAAAATGGCACAACCACTCTGGAATACAGTTTGGCATTTCTTCAAAAAGTCGATCATAGAAACTCCCTAGGATCCAGCTATTCCACTTACTGGGAATATACCCCAAGGAAATGAGAACCGAGACACAAATGGAGATTTGTACACTGATGTTCATAGCAGCGTTCTTCACCACTGCAAGATCAAGGAAACAGTTCAAATGTCCAACTACAATTGAATGGATTTAGAAATATGGTACATTCACGCAATGGAATACTATGCAACACTGAGGAGTAACCAAAAAAATTTGAAAAATATTCTATAATTTGGGAGAGACTGGAGAACATTATGCTGAGTGAACTAACTCGGTCTCATAAGGACAAATACTGCATAAAACCATTATTGTAAAAATAGAAGGATAACTAGTAAAACATGTATGAGGACCCAATGGGAGAAAAGGTGGGGGCAGTGGGGTGAGGATGGGCCAGGGCGAAATCACAGGGTTGCATAGTTTGGTGGGTGAATGGAGCGGGTGAAGGGAAAGGGAAGGATCCAAGGGGGAGCTGAAAAGATTGGGTAATAATGGGCAAGGTTCAATAGCAGTTGATTTTACAAAACATAATGAATGAGAATGATTGCATGAAACACAATATGAATGAAGAATAGTGTGAAACACAAGGTATATGAACTTTGTAAGCAAACCAATATAAAATAAAAGAATTTTAAAAATCCTTTTCTTTTGTCACCTTAATGTAAATTGAATGTCAATAGTATATTTTGTATAAATCTTTCAGTAAAATATAATCTTTGGGAGGAGATTAGCTGGATTATTAGTGGTCTAATTCTCCAACTCTTTATTGTCTTTCTACAACATGTGAGAATAAACTATCAATTCTTGATTTTTAGTAACTGGAGTGGTTCCTGGTTTATTTCCCCTACGACAGCAGCACAATTCCTTATCATTACGTTACCAGAGCTCCCTAGACCATTAACACTAAACAATCCAAATGACTGCTCAGTGACTGAGATTTACTTACCTTCTGTTAGCCTGAGAATAAGAGTGGGATCAAGCCCAAAGTGCTCATGTGAGTCACCAGCAGTATCACCATAAAATGATAATTGGCCCAAGTGGGAACGACTCTTCATCCGAGATGAATACGTAGATTTCTGGTGCACCTTCATGCTGCGACTCATAGTTTTCTCCTGCCCACGTGGAAAAGTTGGAAAGAATTTAAAATATACCAAAATAATGTGTTCTCAAAATAGCAATCACATATAAAAATCTAATTTGTGCTAAGTCCTTGTCCCTTGCCAGGCCATTACTAATACAGTGAATGATCCTAAGTTCTTATCTTTTAAGGAATATAGAGAATTTTCATTTTGTTCTCATTTGAAATTGAGAAATTTTTTTTAAATCAGCTTTCATTAAGTAAGCTCATCTCGTAGGGAACCTATAAAATGTTCTTCTCATTTGTTTTGCCCAGTCTTGTCAGGTCCAAATGCAGATACACATAGGAAAATCCCACTGCTTTTAAAGAGGTTGTTTCTGTGGAAGGAAAATCTTCAAAAGAAATGGATCTTCAAAGTAGATATGAAAAATTATTGTTGTTGTTGGATCATTGAAAACTTAATTTTGGTTTAATAAAACTGTTAACACACAGAAAGCCACCACCCAGAAGGTGGGTCTGTTTTCTCTATTTCCCTTTTTCTACTCTGTCTCTCATTGGAATCACTCATAGCTGACTCTCAGTGCCTTGCAGAGCTAATCTCCCTACTTGTGTGCTCAGCCCTGAGGCTGCCTGCTTCACATTCCATGAGCTCTGCTTCCTTTACTCGCAGAGGTAAAGGCTGCCTCGAGGACTTTCTTTGTCCTAATTAGAATGAGGGGATATGTGGTGGCCTAGTTCCTAGACAGTGTGTTGCTAATCCAAAGGTTATACTTCTCTGAAGATTCGAGTTCACCTGCAGCTCAAAGGGAAAATGATGGGCAATCTTTTTCTGTGTGATTTAGAGCCTTGTAAACCTGCTGAGTGGTCAACTATGAGTGAGTTGCAACTAGACAGCAATGATAAAAAGAGGGTATATATACATATACACACACATACATAACTCGGTGTTTCAGGGGTAAGGAGTTGGGCTGCCAAACTAAAGGAACCTGGTTCAATTTCACTAGCTGCTCTGGGGGAGAAAGAAAGGCAATCACTTCCTGTGCAATTTATAGCCTCTGAAAACCTGCTGGAAAGTCAGCTATGAGTCATTCCAAACTTAACAGCACATAGTAACAAACAACTGGGGTCCAAGCCACAAGGAGTTCCTTCTACCAACCTAGTCAGGCAGTGTGACTCCACTAATTGCTCTATGGGAAAAAGATGGGCAAACTTCTCCCTTGAGATTTACAACCTCTTGAAAACCTGCTGGAGGTCAGCTTTGAGTTGGTTGTGACTCAGCTGCAATGTCGTTGTTGTTATGTGCCCTCGAATCGTCTGTGACTCATAATGACCCTATGTATAACAGCTCTGAAGCCGCCCTGTCCTCAGCCAGTCTCACTGACTCTGAGATATATATATATATATATATCACACACATACAGATTTTCCATTTCAATATTTTCACATATACAATCTCGTGACATTACGTTTATAATGTGTAACCATTACCACTATTCACTTCTAAATATTTCTATCTCTTTTAAAGTTAAGTTCAGGATCGGCTAAGCAATGACTTGCTCTTTGCCCCTCCCTCCTGCATCTAATAACAGCTAATACATTGTGTGGACCATGTATTTCTTGCACTTAGAGCACTGAGAAGCCAAAGAGAAGAGAGGAAGACCCTCGATGAGATGGATTGATTCAGTGGCTGGGGTATGGGGGTAGGTGTGTAAGAGACAAAAAGACTGACACAGGATAGAGCATGGTTTAGGGCTGTTGTTCATAGGGTCGCAATGAGTCCCAGGCGACTCAATGGCACCTAACAACAACAGACATTACGTTTCAGTGGGATCACACACTATTTACCTTCTTGTGACTGACTTAAATCACTCAGCACACGAATCTTGAAGATTCAACTCCTGTTAGCGGCATAATGACATCTTTACGTGCAGATACATGTCCCTACCACCAAGGACCATCATCTTCTCCCCAACATATGCATTCCTTGTCTCTGGTTTTGGGGTTTGTTTTTTTGTGTGTTTTCTTTTCATTCTTCTGTGACCATCATAGAGAGCCCTGGTAGCGTCATGTGTTATGTGCTGGTAAGGGTTAGTGACGTCAGTGGTTCAGAGCCACCACCTATTGGATAAGACAAAGGACAGGGCCGTCTCTCTTCTTTTTAGGATTGCTGTGACCCGGTAAATGGAATAACTGTATCGTGTCAAATCTAATTGTCATTTATTGTGAGATTGCACAACTATTTTAGAAACTGCAAATTATGTGTTACATCTCATCAATGTAAATTAGATCCTCATTTTGGAAATGTGTAAAAAAAATCGATCAGTGAACAAGGGCTTATTATCCTAAGATTGTAATGGTGCCTCTTCGTCCACTAGGTGGCGTCTCTTCGGTCTCTAGCACGTGTGCTGGAATCAGGGCGGCCCAGTGTGTTAACTGCGCCTGCGCAGCAGAGGGCAAGGCACGCACTACACAGCTCAGGGTCTACGGGGGGCCCGAACCCAGGGACTTCACCACAGCGGTGCAGACTGTGATTCTAGTTAATTAATCAATCAATAGAACTATTTTCCTAAAACCTTACCTTTTTCCTCGCCTCCAGCTCATTTTCTTTGAAAAGAAAGAGATCTTTGAAAAAGATCTTATATCGCTTTCCTTCTTTGGTAGAGGCATCTTCGGTTTTCTCCGCTTTAAAAAAAAAAAAAGGCAAAATTTCAGTTATTCCTTTTGTGTTGATCAAGATGATGAGGTTCCGACCAGCGCCAGGATGATATAATAGAGGTCAACGAGCTTCTCAGGAGGTAAGAAGCAGACAGCTTCCTGTCCCCCTAGTTCCAGCCAGCTAGGGAGCTGGGGATGGAGATTCGGGACCAGATCCCACTGCAGCAGAGACACAGCTCCTGGGTTCCCAGGGGTCCCCAGCACAGTACACAGACGAGCCACATTCGTTCAGTAAATAAATATGGAGATGTTTGATAAAATAATTTGCTCGTGCATTGAGATAATTAGGACATTGCTTCTTGCCACCCCTACAAAGATAAGGATCACTGTCCAGCACTCAAATCCAGGAGGTTGGGCTTACATCTGGAGAATGGAAGAGCGTCCCCAACAGGCTGCTGATAGTGGATCCAAGAGAATGCTTGAATCTTCATGTCGCTCAGGGACAACCCCAGACCAGACAGGACCCCAAGACTGAGTTTATATCAGCTTCCCAAACAACCATTCTCGCCTTCCAAAACCCCCCCCCTCACACCAGGTAATTTAACATTTTGAATGCCTATATTTAAGTCTCCAGTTGACCAAGTTTAAAAATCTCTAAGTGGTTTGGAACTGAGATGATTGTTTTTCCCCTCCAGCCAACCAGATTTTAGAATTCAATGCCATCTTCATTTCAGTTTGAGACAAATAAATGCCAAGTTTGCGGAATTAAACGCTCAATACTAAAGCACTCCAGAATGTTCTGTTCCACATATATATTGAAAAGATATGGAGAAGGACGCATTCCTGATGTACTCCTTTCCTGATTTTGAAACATGCAGTGTTTCCTTGCTCTGATAACTGCTTCCTGGTCCAAGTATAGGTTTCACATGAGCACAATCAAGTATTCTGGGCTCCCCATGATCCTCAAGGTTAACCACAATTTGTTGTGATCCACATAGTCAAATACCTTTGCATAGTTTTATTAACACAGATAAACATTCCTTTGCTTTCTGCCAGGATCCATCTCACATTGGCTATTACGTGTCATTGCCTCTTCTAAATCCAGCTTGCATTTCTGGTAGTTCTCTGTCAATGCATTGTTTCAGTCTTTTTTTTAAATCATCTTCAGCAAGATTTTGCTTGAGTGTGATATCAGTACTATTGTTTGATAATTTCCACACTCTGTTGGATTACCTCTTTTTGGAATGGGAATAAATTTGAATCTCTTCCAGTTGGCCAGGTAGTTGTCCTGCAGATTTCCTGGTACAACCTGGTGAGCACTTCCAGGTTTGCACCTGTATATTGGAATATATAAACTATTATTCTATCAATTCCAGGGGCCTTGTTTTTTCCAATTCCTTCAGAGCCAGTTGAATTTCTTCCTTCATCACCATTGCCACTTGATCATATGTTGTTTCATTAAATTCTCTGTCAGCCAGTTCTTTTGGATCTAGTGATGCTATGCATTCCTTCCATCTTCTTTTAATGTTTTCTGGATCATTCATTATTCTGCAGAATTGTGCCCTATCCCGCGCCATGCTCATGATCTCTGACAGGCTTGAGCCCATGGTTACAGTCACTGTTTCAGTCCATCCATCTCACTGAGAGTATTCCTCTTTTTTCATTGATTCTCCATCTTTACCAGCATGATCTCTTTTCCCAAAGACCAGTCCCTCCTGACAACATGTCCAAAGTATATGGGATGAAGTTTCACCATCTTTGTCTCTAAGTTGTACACTGGTTACACTTCCTCCAGGATACACTTGTTTGTTCTTTTGGCAGTCAATGGGATATTAAGCACTCTTCTCTAACACCAACATTCAAAGGCATTGATTATTCTTCACTTTATCCTTATTAACTTTTCAATTTTTCTGTTGTCTACATATTAATTCAAAATACCATGGTTTGAATCAGGTGCACCTTAGTCTTTAAAATGATATCATTGCGTGTTACTGATTTTGAAAGATTCTAGAGAGCAGATTTCCCCAAGGCAATCTATCTTTTGATTTCTTGACTGCTCCTACCATGACTGGTGATTGTCGATCCAAGTAATGAAATCCTTGACAACTTCAAATCTTTTCTCCATCTATCATGATGCTGTCTACTGGCTCAGTGAATCTTTTTTGGGGGGTAGAGATGGAGTAAAGCCAAGGACTGGCAAAAAGCTATTTTAAAAATTAGCATAATGAAGTAACTTTTATCCTATATTAAAAAGTGGTAAGAGTCTGTAGGAAAAATAAAGAATTAAAAAGTGACTATAATCTTCTCAGCAGAAAATTTACAAACTAGATGTAGGAAATTGTTATAGTGTAGCATTATTCTTCTCTTACCCTCCCAATATACTATGGAATTTAAGAGCATGGGGAACAAAGCAAGAACTCATTGACTGATGTGTTCCTTACCTTCAGGTGTAGGCACAACACTTGATGTCATTTTGTCTTCTGACCTTGTCTAAAAAAAAGGAAATACATTTTTTTAAAATTCCACAAACACTCCACATTGCCTTGCTCCCTGCAAGTATTCTGAGTAGGACGGGACTGCTCAGTAGGGTTTGCACGACTGTTCAGAAGCAGATTATAGTCTTTAGTTGGAAGTGCTTATGGCTGGGTTTGAACTGCTAACATTTTGCCTATTAGTCAAGTGCAAACCATCTGGCCACTCAGAGACTCCAAATACTGTATAAAAGAATCAACCTCCCACTGACTCTCACGTAGCCATTAATAGTTATAAAAGCAGAGTACACACAAACCCTTAAACCAAGTCATTTCAATCCTAGGAAATTATCTTGAGAAAATAATCAGTGGACTAAAATTTATGTAGAGTAAGAGAAGATTTCAAAGGGCAGTGTGGGAAGACAAAATAAAGTATTATAATTACCTAAAAATAAGGCCCCAGGAATTGATAGCATACCACTTGACATATTTTAACAAACAAACACTCCCCTGGATGTTCTCACCAAATTGTGCCAAGAAATCTGGAGGACAAATACTTGGCCAACTGACTGGAAGAGATCCAAATTTGTTCACATTCCAAAGAAAGGTGACCCAACAGAACAATATCATTAATATCACATGCAAACAAGATTCTGCTGAAGATTATCCAAAAATGACTGGAACAGCACATCAGCAGAGAACTGCCTGAAGTGCAGGCTGGGTTTAGAAGAGGCTGTGATACTAGGGATATTATAGCTAATGTTAGATGGATGTCTGCTGAAAACAGGGAGTACCAGAGGAATGTCTACCTGTGTTTCATTAACTATGCAAAGGCATTGGACTGTGTGGACCACGACAAACTGTGGCTAACTCTGAGAAGAATGGGAATCCCAGAACACTTGATCATGCTTATGCGAAACCTATACTTGGACCAGGAGGCAGCCATCAGAACAGAGCAAGGTAACACTGCATCGTTCAAAATTGGGAAGGGTATATATGCCAGAGATGTGTCCTATCTCCATACCTTTTCAATCTATATACACAGAGAAGCATATCTGAGAGGCTGGGCTCTATGAGGAGAAATGTGGTTTCAGGATTGGAGGAAGACTCATCAACAATCTGCATTATGCAGAGGACACAACCCTGCTGGCTGAAAATTGAGAAGGACCTGAAGTGCTTGCTGTACAAGGTCAAGGACAGCAACCTTAAATATGGATTGAAGTTCAACATATCACTGGGCCAATTGGCAGCATGATAGAAAGTGAAGAGATTGAGATTGAGATTGTCCTCTTGGTTCCACAAACAACACTCTTGGTACAAGCAGTCAGGAAATAAAAAGATGAATTGCAATGGGAAAGTCAGCTGTCAGAGACCACTCCTAAGTACTGAAGAGCAATGCTGTTAGTCTGGAGACTAAGGTGCACCTGATCCAGGCCACAGGCTTTGTAATTACTTGCTATACTTCAGAAAGTTGGACAGTGACTGAAGAATTGATACCTCTGAGCTGTGGTGCTGGAGAAGAGTATTGAATATACCATGGACTCCTAAGAGAACAATCAGGTTCATCCTAGAAAGGGTGAAACCACGCTGCTCCTTGGAGGCAAGGATTCTGAAGCTTCACCTGACATACTTTGGACATGTTGCAAGGCAGGACCAGTTCTTGGAAAGGGATGTCATGCTTGGAAGAATGGAGGAACAGTGTAGGAGAGGAAGACCCTGGATGAGATAGATTGATTCAGTGACTGGAATAATGGGGATGGGTGTGTCAGAGACAATAAGATTGGCACAGGACAGAGCAGGGTTTAGGGCTGTTGTACATAGGGTCGCTATGAATCACAGGCGGCTCAAGAGCACAAAATAACAACAACAACAACAACAGTAACAATATTTACCACAGTGCTGCTTTTTTAGCAGATAGGGACTTGGCTAGATAACCATGGTGTGTGGATTGTCATGTAATTCTTTAAAGTGATGCTGTAGTTACTTGTTATTTATCTTTGTCTATTATACTATTCTTTTGTACATAGGGTTTTCGAAGGCCTGTCATTTCAGAAGTAGATGGCCAATCCTTCTTCCTAGTCTGTCTCAATCTTTAAATATATATAATAGTATCTGACAGACAAGCACTCCACGGAAAACAGCAGATGAAAGACATTTGCCCAGTTATAAAAATGACCAATAGATTCAATGTTGCTGCCCATCCTTGTTACATGTTGTTGTTGTTGTTTGTTCATTTTTTGTTTTTTTTAAATCCACCCTTTCCTTACTCCATCACCATCCCTTCCTACTTTTGCCTACAGCATTCAATACCTGTCTCCCATTGACCAGCCCCTGATGTGATGGCCTAAGTCCCAAGCTATCAGGATTTCTGTGATTCTGAACATATTGTGCTGCTGTCAGTCTCTTCGGATGCAGCCAGTATGACTTCAATTTAAAGTTGTTAAGTACAGCTGTAATGTACAACTTCTTTTCCTGGAAGGTTCTGAGAAAAAATTCTTGTTCTTAAACTTCCACTCCAGGATTGCCTTCTCATGGGTTAATACCGCTTGTCTTCAATTTGAAGCCAGGCACTGAAGCAAAATTTCTTGGCCCGAGGGCCCAAAACTCTTCTGGCAATGGCATCGGGGGTGTGCCCCCCCCCCTTGTTACCTGTTTTTTTTTTAGTGATAAACAGGCCATTGTATTAGTAAAGATTCATGAGGAATCAGAGAAGTATTTGAAAGGTTGTTTTTGAAATGTTAATAATGGTGATCAGTGATTTTGAGCAGTCTTTTCTGCATCTTTATCAGGTACAAGATTAAGGGTATGCGCTCACCTTGGCCGTGAAATTTAAGATAATGTGTTGATGGCTAAAAGCATGTTGCTGCTGTTGCTAAGTGCTGTTGGGTCATAGCAACTCATAGTGACCCTATGAATGCAAGACCTGAACGCTTGTATAAGTTTCATCCTCTCTCCAGTTTCATAAGGTTTATGGAGGCAAGCTATTTCAGAAGTGGATGCCACTCCTGCTTCCAAGCTTG